TATTATCAGCAATAACAGGAGACATTTGATGATAACATGCTCAGTATATCAAGATGTTATAATCTTAAATATGTATATACTAAACAATAAAGTTTCAATAAATGAAGCAAAATTATAAACTAATAGAGATACAAATTCACAATTCTAATTAGAGACTTTAACATGATTCTTTCAGTAACTATTTGAACAAGAAGACAGAAAATAGGTCTGGGTATAGTCAACTTGGACAACACTATTCAACTAATCCAATATAAATGACTAAATTAACAGAATATCAAATTCAGTATATCAAGTACATGCTAGACCATAAAACAAACCTCAACAAATAACAAAATCTAAAGTCATACAAATTATGTTTTCTGCCTATAATAGAATCAAAATAGAAATCAATGACAAAATTATGTAAGAAACCATTACATTGTTTGAAATTAAATAATATGGAAAGACAAAAAGAAAATATTTTAAAAGTGATAGCAAAATCATATCAAAATGTGTATGAAGTTAAAGCAGGGTTTAGAGGGAAATTTATAACGAAAACTGGCTGTTTACAGAAGAAAAATATTTAAATATCAATAATCTCAGTTTCTGTCTTGAGAAGCTAGAAAATAAGAATAAATTAAACAAAGTGAATAAAAATGAAAACCAACTGAAGAGTGAAAATCAATGTAATGGAAAATGAACAAGTGACAGAGAATCATTTAAACCATAAGCTTGTTCTTTGAAAAGATCAATATAATTAATAAACTCCTTATTAGAATGATCAAGAAAAAGATTTTTTATTAATATGAGAAATAAAAAAACAAAATTGCAATAAATTCTATAGACATTAAATAATATAAATTTGCCCAGATTCTTTCAGAAAATAGAGAAAGAATGATAATGTATCAAAAAACACTGTTTTTTAATTCCAAGAATAGTAGATGGACTTAAACAAAACCAAACAATGCATTTACAATACATTAACAAGGATTAGAAAAAGAAAAAAAACCCATACATTGTATCAATAGATTCAGAAAACGTCAACAACCATTCATAAGTAAAACTCTCAGAAAATTAGAAAAAAACTGGTGTAATGAGATCTTAAGACATGAGAACACTATAAAAAGGAATCAAATGAACTATTATGTAATAAGAATAAAAATTGGAAAATCAAACTAAAATATCAATGTTGTATACAGTAGTATCAAAAAGCAGTAAATAATTATAGACTCAGTAAAACATATATTTAAGACCTATACACTGAAAAGGGAACATTTATGAAAAAAATCTAAAGAAAATAAACATAAACATATAAGTAATTATTTCTTTTTCCTTAGTACTGGGAATTGAACCCAAAGCCTTGCCACTGAGCTATATTCCCAGCCTTTTTTATTAAAAAAAAATTTTTTAAACATGGTTTCCTGAAGCTCCTAAATTGCCCAGGGTAGGTTTACAGTTCTCTTGTCTTAGTCTCAGAATGCTGGGATAACAAGCATGCACCAACCTGCCTAGCATTATTTTTTATATACTGGAAATCTCAATACTTTAAAAATGTTATTTCGCTGCCTGATTGTTATGGCTTGTATCTAGATGTTCCCCTAAAGCTTCATGGGTTCATAAGTGGGGCTTTTCAATGGTGATGGGATTATGAATGTGTGATACTGGGATTAATGGGCACATGATATGGGATTAGTCCACTAATTGGTTTAACATAGTTCTGGATGTGGCTGAATGGATTTAATGAAGAGGGAAGCCCCACACTGGGTGTGAGTGGGAACAACCAATATGCTTGTAGCCTGGATGGAACACAAAGGGGCAGAAAGAAGGCAGGGTCACTGCTTCCTGTTTACCCTGATATAGCCTATTTCTCCTTTGTGATGGTCCTCTGCCATGTCTCCCTGCCTTTGAGCCAGTCAACTATGAACTGAAATGTCTACAAACTGTGAGCCAAAATAAATCCTTTCTCCTTTAACTTTGTGTGTTGGGTATTTTGTCTTAGCAATGTTAAAAGTAACCAAGACACTGATCTATATATTCCATAAAAATCTTTTTGTGGAAATTACAAGTGGATGCTATAATATATATGTAAATGCAAATGACCTAGAAAAGCAAAAAATAATTTTAAATAATTTGAGGATACTGAAAAACTCCATTACTCAATAGACTGTAATTTTAAGGACAGAAACATGGATTAATAGGTGGAAACACAAATAGACCTATACATACATATTCTGTTGATATCTAACAAAGGTGCTAAGAGAGAAATGGCAGTCTTTACAATGAATGATGTTCTAGAAATTAAATATCCATATGGAAATAAAAAGAAATCTCAACCATTATTTTATATGCAACATAAAAATTATCTCAAAGTGGTCCATATATTTTATGTAAAGCTAAATCTATTACTTATTTACTTTTGATGCTAGGGATTGACTTAGGGCCTTGTACATTCTAAACTTATATACTACCACTAAGCCTCACTGATCCCTCCCACCCCTGTCCTTTAAAATTATATAACCCCTTGAAGGAACATTGAAGACAATGTTTGCAAGTTTGGAATAGGCAAAATTTCTAAGATAGAACATGAAAGCACAAATTGTAAGTGTTTAATAAACCAAATTTCTTCAAAATTAAGGCATCACTTAAAAACAAATAAGTAAGGGCCAGGGATTCAGCTCAGTGTTTTCGCTGACTGCCTTGCAAGCATAAGGTCCCAAATTCAATCCCCAGTACCAAAAAGAAAAAAAGCAAACAACAAACTAGGAGAAAATACACATAAAACATGTAAGGGATGAAGACTTGTATACAGACTATAAAGGATTAATAAATAAAAAGTTTAGAGAAAATATTTTACATTCTTCATGAAAAAAGATTCTGAAATGGGTATAATTAAAAAGACATAATATTAGGTATCGATTAGGATGTAGAATAACTGAAACTGTTCTACATTACTGATGGGAATATAAAATGATATACCCACTTTGGAAAAATCAAAAATAAGTTACATAATCTCCAAATACAATGGCACAGGGCAAACAGTCTCATTTCAAAAGCAGTCCCATTTTCAAAAAGAGAAAAGACATGGAACAAAGGAAGACCGAAATCCAGCAGGGTAAACATTAAGTCCTATAGTTCAATATCTGGCACTCAAGGTATATGGTGATGGAATGTGAGTTCCAAAAGCCTTCAGTGGCTCCACAACTATGGCCTTATTGGTCGAACCTACATGTGCTCTCTCATGGCATGGATCCACTGACAGATTGCAATATTCCTCGGCAGACATTCCACATTCCTGACATCTCCAACTTTCTGGGGTCTCCACTGCAGCTATAGCTTCATTCCCACAGCTCCACCAAGTACCCTCTCAGGGGCTTTTTGCCTGGCTTCCTGGACCTTCCTTTGAAATTGGGGTGAAAAATCTTCCTAATTCCACAACTCTTATTTTATGCATGCCAATAAAACCAGCACCATGTGAAATGATACCAAGCTTTGGCTACCATACCAAGGCAGCTGGGCCCCCTTAGATCATGGGTGCAGCAGCTTCTGAGTGCATAGGTGGCTCAACACAGTGAAATGAATCCCAAGGAATCAACTCCCTAGAAAGCCACTGAAGATCAGGCATCCCAGACACTCTCTTCTCAAATAAAAGGTCTATATTTTGCCATCTTGAGCCTGACATGGGTGGTGGTGGCTTGCTGATTTCTGAGTGCCTTTAATGCATCTTTCTTCTTATCTCTGTGTAAAATACTTTGTTTCTTTTCAGTGGCATCAATTTCTTTAGTAATCAAACCTATTTGGCTCCAATTTTACACATGGCTCCTTTGGGACTAAAATTTAAGCTTTTCAAAACATTTTTTGAGACAGAATCTTGCTTTGTAGTTCAGGCTGGCCTTAAGCTGACTAAGTAACTCAGGCTGGCCTCAAACTTGCAGCAATCCTCCTGCCTGTGCCTCTCAAGTGCTGGGATTAGAGGAGTGCAGCACTATGCCTGGCAAGTTTTTTGAATTTTTATGCTTCACTTTTTGCCCCCAACCCTCACTGTAAATCTATCTAAAAGCAGCCAAGCAGTACTCATCCCACAAAGTGTATTTTGGGCTGCTTTGAAATTACATCTGCCAAATCAATTAGTCCACCACCCTTAATCTCAGTTTCCTGCAAAGTCTCAGGACATTAGAAAAATATAGATACATTTTGACCACAGCATAACACTCATGGCCTTTAGTCCAACTGCCAGTGAAACCTTTGTTGCCACCTAAAGTCTCCTAAACTTGGCCTTTACTGTTGACATTCCTATCAGCATTGTGAATACATATCAAGAATATGGAGATATATATATTGTGGAGAGAATTGAGTTTGAGAACAAATATCTATTTATCTAGCTATCAAGAGTGTGTTCACCAAAAAATATATACCTACTTCAGGAAAAGAAAAATTTATATAAATATTTTAATACTAAATTTATTGAGACATCCTGAGATTAATACAACCTCTACAATCACAAAAGGTTCTCAAAGTGGTAGCCATTAGCTTCTATACATTTATTAGTATAGGGAACAGCTGCTTGGGTAACTTTAGTCCATTGAGTTTGTGACCCATGCATTTTCAATTTCTTCTCTAAGGCCTGACAGTGATGTGGGATATCTGAAATATATGACATCCTTTAGGGTCCCCCATATGAGGGTAACACCATCTTTGAAAAAGCATCATACTATTTTTCTTTCTCTGGAGTATGTATACATTTTTTTGGCTCTATCTATCTATCTATCTATTTATCTATCTATCTATCTTGTTGTTAATTCTTTGTGAATTAAACACTTGTAGTGGATGCATTTTATTATATGTAATTTACAACTAAATAAAATTGAATAAAAATCAAATAACTGACTTACTAAAGAGTAAGCTATGAACTAATAAGTTTTCTGCTTAGCAATATAAAACTTGGAAATTTCTTTATTTTAGCATGAAAGCATTCTGTCTCAAAACAATATGTGTTTTGCTCCATGACTAGTAAAACAACTTACCAATATAGTTCTTCGACACGGCAACTTCTCTGACTTCAATGTGAACAGAGCCTCTTGGTATCTGTACCACTTCCATGTAGCCTGGAACACAAGTCACTCGGTAATAAATGACCAATCCAGAAAATGTTTGGAAAACATTTTTAAAGTAACAATTTCTTTAACATTTCCATTCCTTCTTTGACTTTGTCCTTTATAACTTATGAAATTGAGGTAAAATACCCTTTGGATTCATGAATACATTTTAGAGAAAAAGTACTTAATTAATATCTCTCTAAAGTTATCTCAAGATAACTTTAAAGCTTCAACATACATATTATTGGTTCTCTTCTATTTTTCAACACATGAACCTCAGTGCTCTGGGCGTATTCACACTTTAAAGAAACATGGCAAGCTGGGTGGTATATGACTATACAATCCCAGTACTCAGGGGGCTGAGGCAGAAGGTTCACTTTTGCCAGAAGTTGCAGGTCAGTCTGGTCAACACAGCAAGACCTTATTAGACAGACAGACAGACAGACAGATGGACAAATAAAGTCTAAAATTTAAAAATGTAGAAACAGAGTATAGTTCAGTGATAGAGGATTTTCCCAGGACAAGCAAAACCCTGGATTGTATCATCAACACTGGAAGCAAAAAAAAAAAGCAAAGAAAAGTGAAATATGACTAAATAAAGTCAAATTGACAGAGACTAAATTTTTTAAAATATCTTAATGAAGGCCTACAAAATACATAAATGACTGAAAACAACTTGGATAAAACATTGTCTACCTAAATACACATTTTTAAGAATAAGGAAGGAAAAGCCATGCTTTTTGGCTCTTCTAATGGAAGAGTGCTTCCCACACATTTACCTCCTCTTGGCAGTGAATCATTGAAGAAGCCCTCGACAGCATCACAAGTGCTTCCGTCTCCCCCACAGACTCGGCATCTGTCTTCCCTCGCATCAGATCCCAGAATGTTATCACAACCCACATGCTGGAAATAGAGAATGTTCAGTCAAAAGAGGAGCTCTTGGACTATAACTAATCAAACGCACATAATTCATTTATTTACTTGTTTTTCCACTAAAGGAAATAAAAACGGGAAATACTGGCCCATTTACCTTCACTCTCTAGTAAGTCCAAGTTGACTTTTCTCAACACCTATGTTTAAAGAAAACAAGCTTGATTCCCTAGGAGTGTACATGTATGTCTGTATTTCTAAACCAGCTCTCTTCTTCACTTGTATATCATGCTCTAATTCTTAAAATATTATAATTTGTTAGCATCTTACTTATACCCTCAGTGAAGAAATTCAAGAACTGAAAAAATGACTATTGTCTTCTACAGGATATAACAGCAAGAATTCTGACTGAACATGGATTTGCCCTTTGTCTCTTTTTGGATATTCAATTGTTAGTGTTAAAGATTAAGTGAAATCCACACCTATGTAATTTTTAAAAATAAATACCGGTTTCCACTAGCTGAATAAAATTGCTATAAACAAAATAGAAATGTAGATACACAATTAAATAAGATAAAATTTTATATTTTATTTTTTCACTTAATTATAAAATTTTTCTCAGTATACATTGGTACTTATTTTGTTGCCTCAGTTTGTACATTTAAATTTTTTTTCTCTTTTCTTTTTTTACCAGGAATTGAACTCAGGGCCTCTCACTTGCTAAGCAGGCACTGTGCCACTGAGCTGCATCCCACAGGCCCTGTACATTTGATCTTTAACCACAGATATTGGCCACATATTCTCTGAATAAAACCTGTATTTTGGTCCTTGCTATCTGAAAAAAAAACCATAAATACTGTAAAAAAAAAACACTTTTTCTCCAAGGAAATAAAATATTTGTGTATGCACACACACACATCGAGACACCTGAACTAGAACATCAGGTGTTTTGCAGGCACATAACCAGGAAAGAAACTTTTCCAAGAAATTATGAGACTATGCAAATAAACAGTACTTAAATTTTTGCCTTTTTAGTTTGCACCACTTAGTTGTGTGCTTCTTTCTAAAGCATGACAAAAGTAAAAAATTTATGAGAACAGTGGTTTTGGTGGCTTTCCTCATTATAATGTTCACACATAGGTTTAAGAAAGTAGTATGAATTTGCTACTATGATGTCTAAATAATCTAATTACCTAAAGTAAATGCTTTAATAAGATAAAAAGTAACCCTATAAAGAAAACCACTGTAAATTCTTCAAAAGGAGATAAAATAGGAAAGTGCACAGCTATATGAGGAAAAATTATGCTCTGCAATATACAAATTCTTCCAATGAGAAGGTATGATCTCCATGTGAATAAGACTTGAATTCTTGTCCCTTTCTTTTTACCATTTTGTTTGTAAACAGAAGAAAGTAATGGGAATGAAAGTCCAGAATATTTTCATACCTCTGGCAATGGCTATAAAACAGAACTCAAATTCTGGGACAAATCACATTTCAGGGTGATTGAGTATGAATGGGTCATTTAACTACCCATAAAGTCACTCTTTACTAGAAACTGAATTTTTCTAAAATGTAACCCTCTTTTTAAAAAAATAACATAAAATTGTATAGGAGCTACTATCTGATAAAAAGACAAAGGTCTCAAAAAGTCCCAACAAAGAGGACTATAATGTGTGCAACCTTGCATTCTCCATTGATACAAATATCCAGTGAATCTGCATTGCACTGGGTCCCATCAATCACTGCAGGGGCACGTTCAGTGTAGAAATTGTAACCTTCAGCCAAGCAGTTCAATGCACAAGGTTTTACTCCACCTAAAAGAATAAAGTAGAAAAGAAAAAATGGAGTGGTTCTCCTAATGAACAGAGATTCTGTATGATACATAGCAGATGTATAATTCATAGATACCATTCTCCGATTATACACCTAGACCTGTGGTTTTTTTTTTTCTTTTTCTTTTCAAAAACTTCGCATTTATTTTCACTGTTCATGTAAGTTAAAAGAAGACTGTTTTGCCAGTTTAGGCTTAAAATTTTCAAGTACTTATCTTTATACGTATAGTATATTTTAGGTCAAAAGGAATCATGCTGGATAGAAGAAAAACATTTTTAAAAGTTAACTGAGGAAATAAAATTTAAGGAGGCTTGACACAATAACTTTCTATAATAAGAATTTTTGTTATATATTCTACTGAAGATAATATAAAAACATTAATCTGGGACTGGATAGTTGTAAAATAAATCTAAATGTCTATTTGTTTAAAACATATCATGTTCCATTATCTTGGCATTAACATGCAGATAAATTCTTAGATTAGCACACTGAAGATAAAATTAATTATAGTATTAAATTTCAATAATTTTGTGAAATAAGTAAAATATGTGAACCATTTTAACAATTAGATAATATCTAGCACTATTTTGTGGATAAATATATACAATAACTAGAACATTTTCATTTTACCATAGAAATTTGAATTTTTAAAGTTTGAAATGAAAAACAGGTAACAATAATAACAACATAAAAATCAGAGTACACAGTATGAGTATATAGTATATTGGGAGACTAGAAATAAATGTGGATTTATTTGAATGAAATCAGAACATTAGAAAGTTATCATGTATAAATATGTAATTATTTTTAAAAATTATGACGAAGCATTTTCTATAAAACCTTTCTTTCATGAAGTTTAAAACACTTCAGCCTTATTCTTTTTAGGCTGACAAAATTTCTCTTGAAATAAATAGGACTACTTCTAATAAAGAAAGTAAAACATATAAATGAAATCACATGCTTATGCCTCTGTGAAGTTCATAAAACTAGGTTTCTTCAAGGTGAAGAATGTAAAAGAAAGCAGACTGAGAGGTGTAGTCAAGAATAAATTAGAAAGAACACATCCCACTAAAGGACATCACTGCAATAGTGAAACTGACGTGCAAAAAGATGTACCAGTGTTGTTAAGCACTTTTTTTTTCAAGAAAAGATGAGAGCCTAGATTCTTTCCAACGCAAATTCTTCTGGTTTTTAAATGCTAGCAAAACTGAGCCCTATTCTGTCAGTTTACAACTGGCTTGAGTCCATGTTTTCTTCAATTTTGAATCAGTTTCTCTATATATTTAAATGATTATATTAATTTAAAAATTAGGTTAATGATACATTTTCCTATACTGAACACAAAAATAACACAGATTTTTTTTCATTGCTATTCAATATAGTTCTTTTCTACTTTTTTTTTCCTCATTGAGTTTATTGGTACATTTTAGGTATACCATAGAGTTACATTCATTATTGGGATCATATATCTTTACATGACAGGTCTTGGTTCTCATTTTTCCGCTTGTCCCTGCCCTCCCTTCACCCATCCTCCCTCCCCCTTTACAAACACTTCATTTCCATTTTTTCATTTTCTCATATCTTTTTCTTTTCCCTTATCACCTTTCCCCTACCCTTCCCACTTTCCCTACACCTTTAGCCCCTTTCTTCCTATTTCACATTGTTCATTATATCATTAGGATCTTAGGTACTATTATAGTTTATTCACACCAGAGAAACTATTCAGTATTTACACCTGTGTGACTTATTTATTTCACTTAGGAGTATATCTTCAATATGTATCCATTTTCCTATGAATGAATCTAATTTCTCATTCTTTATGGCTGAGTAATATTCCATTGATATAGTTATTTTCTTATTTTTATTATAGTACTTTGGAATTTAATGTAGCATTTTATGTGTGAGGCTTTGAAAAGAGAACTTGATTTTTGCTTACTCAATCTTAACATTATATTAATCATGCAAGGTAATATTTTATAGAAGGACACAAAAATCCTCTGGTTTTATTCCTTAGCCCACTACAGTGTGTCATTAAAATAGGAATAAACTTATTTTTACTGCTGAAAATGTGTTCAGCTTTTCTTACTACAATGCGCTTTCAGAAGAAGTACCACTGGAGTGGGCTGGGGATTTAGCTCAGTGGTTCCCCACCTGCCTCCCAAGCGCAAGGAACCAAGTTCAATCCTCACTACCAAAAAAAGAAAGTGCTGGAGTGACATCTAACATTTATCCTACAGAAGCATTGATTCTGACAACTACCCACAAGTAAAAGTACATCTGTGGGAGTATGAGAATCTAATGTAGAACTTCCAGTACACCACTGGAACAAAAAATCTGAGAAAAGACACATTGAAGAGGTTTAAGAACAGCTTCAATTACCTGCACCACATCTCCCTCACAGTAGCACAGCTCAGTGAGAAGAGTGACCCTCTTCAGCCCACAATTTTTCCTGCAGCAAAGATTGAGGTAAAAGAGAGTGAACACAAGGCTCTCCCAGTTATGTGGGACACTGTCCAAGAAACCTATTTCTTTCTCATCCTACTCAGTTTTAGTATATGTGCTGCTGAAGTGAGCACATCTCATCCCACTCAAAATACCTAGGTGACAGGCATGGCTTCAATGTTTAGGAAACACTGGAAGCAGACACAACATGCCACAAAACCAATTAACCACTCTGTTAACTCATTTAGGAAGCCTATTCATGAGCCACTTGGGATGTTTTGTCTGTGGAATCTCTCATAAGTGGACTATAGCACCCAAAAAACCCTGCATGTCTACTTCTCACTCCTCAAGACCAGCAGCCTAAGCATGACCCCTTGGCCAAGAAGTACAAGTCTAACATCAACATCTCGGTCAACTTTCCAGGACGGGAAGAAAGTGCACAACTTAAGCATCTTAGGACATCATCCTAGGGAAAACAAAAAGAAAATTCTCAACATCTGGAGTGGCTTTGTGGGGTCTAGAGAGGACGTAAAATTTTTAAGAATTCTTACCTCAAAAAGAACAAACATTGGGCCAGGGATTTAGCTCAGTAGTGCTGCCACCTGCCTTGCAAGCACAAGGATCTGAGTTCAATCCCTGGTTAAAAAAAAAAAAAAAAAAAAAAAAA